CACCTCAAAACACTCTGAAGGTGGGTGAATGAAGACATTGGGCAGAAATTGTTTCACATTATATCTCACAAACCTGCAGGTCATGCACAAAACGTTTTATATTAAATGTGAAATTCAAATGTAAACTACACCCTTAAACTATGTTTTGCAGCTTTCACTGCCAGTTTTCGTGTATATTTGGCTCTGAGACACTTCACACTTCTGCCGTTGTGTACACAAGTGTTACTGTTTTGTAACTATCTGCTTACTATTGCTTACTGTAATGGTTTCAGGGGGTTTTCAGACCCAGAATGCAGACAAGACTTAAAAGGCTAAAATACAAAAACAAAACTACGTATATTTGAGAAGTAACACTGCAAAAACCTACACGACTGGAGGAAAAGTACAAATAGACCTGTAATGCCCGACTGCTGGAGGAATAAAGAATGCAACAAAATGAAGAGTGAAGTAAATTAGGATAATGGGAACACATCGACTGATTAACAATTAGGAACAGGTGAGAGGGTAGACAATTAACTGCTGGCGCACACAGAAAACTGAATGACTGAAAACACAAAGGAGTAAATCAGACACAATAATCACAATCAAATAAAAAATTTCTAAGAACAAACCAAAAGAAAATCTACAAATCCTTACACGTATTTGTTCATTTATTTTTTTGCTCAGTAGTTATCTCCCTGTTACTATTGAACTTTTAATTAGGTGAGTAATTTATATTAAAATACTTTACTTTGAATCATTGGCTGTCAGATGAATGGAAAATCTGAAGTGATTCAAACAGTGACCAGTTTCCTGCTTCGGTGTTGTGGTCTACATGTTCAGAGCTTCACTCCTTTTTCAACTCTGCCTCATTAAACCTTAGTGATTTCTCTAAACTCCAATACTCATTTTGCCCTCTTCTCTTTGTGGTTCTATGACTCTCTCCTCTTAACCTGTTGGCCAGAAACTAYTGCACTGAAATTAGTGGGAATAGATGCTACTATGCACAATTTATGGCAGTAGCATCTGCCTTCCAACCCATTGTGAATGTTTTGCATTTGGGGTAATCCCACACACAAGGATGTTTTGTTTTTTCCAACTGTCTGTGTCTCACTCGCTAGACATCAAGGCAAATACACAGAGAACCCAAAGCAAGTACCGTAGCTTCTTTCTTGACCCTCAAAAGTTGGAACACAAAGTAACTGAATCTGTAAAAGTAAAGGAGGGAAAGCATCACAGTACCATTTTGTTTTCACAATTTTTCATTTTTTTCTTAGGGATGATGAACACTAATATGTTAGAAAATACCAAATTACATGACAAKGATTTTTGTGACAATAATGAAGGAATTCTTTAATTTTGTGAGTGATTTTGTCAGTAAAGCTCATACTCCTACATTTGAAGGCTGCTAAATAGCCAATTTGGATACACCTATAGCACAAGACCGAGTGTGAAAAATGTACACGTAGCTCTAGGGGTGAATTAATTTAGCTAAAAGAAGTCGAGAAATTTCACTTTAAGTGTGACAATGTCTTTTTTTAAGCTTTACAGACACCCCACCTCCACACACACGCACACACACACACACACACACACACACACACACACAC